CATTCGTGAAAAGTTATCTAATGTTGTTACAGTCAAACTCTGCTAAAGTTAACGCCGCTTCAACGAAATTTTCGCTACAATAAAAAATTCTCGATTCCCTGTCAGTAGTCTATAGGAATCAATGTATAAATACTGTCGCCACAACGAACACTTTTTCTTCAATCTTCCCGCTTCAACGAAATTTTACGATAAAATTCCAGGCTCAGATACTTATTGCTATGCAGTAAACCCAATCTTTAACATTTCGATGCATTTTCAGAGCCTGAAAATGTGTTAACGAAGTCTAAAATACGCGTTGGCACCACTAGAAATAGCCGCTATATCGCTGCTGTTCAACAAGCATGGGCACCGCCATTGCCCGATAGCGATGGTAATGAGACTGCCCTGCTTTTGCCACTGGCTTATTTTGAGCTGCAGACGATCCGAAGCTGAAGCTCAGTAGCCGAGTTCATGGTTTCCTTCAAGCAGCTGCTGGGTGCAACCACGGAACAATGCCTTTTCCGATGCTTATCATTATGTTCGCGCTTGGCCAGTGTGGTAACTAATCAGAGTGGCTGTTCGTCCGCATTATCAACAAAATCAGCTAGCCGGAAGTGATGGATGATAAGAATGGCATAGAATAATGCAAAAGTCGTCGCTCCACGATACCCTGCCTTCATCTCGGCGTTATCTAACAGTTTTAACGGCGGACAGCTGCTGGTGTTAACGTGTTATTGCAACTGTTTGGTTCGTTCGTGAGGGCAGTTTTAGGCGTGTTTCAGTGTGCTTTTCACCACAGCCTCGCTATACATGGGTGAGAATGACGTCGTGACACTGCTGAGAAAGAGTAGGAAGCAGCGGACATTTTTTAAAATTTTGAGAATAAACGCTCCTTTGTTTTGGTAGCTCAGATAAGCTTTATTTTTTTTCGATTTCACTTCAACAAAATTTCCGCTTCAACGAAATTTTTTCGCGTCCCGTCAGTTTCGTTGTAGCGGGGTTCGACTGTATAACAATGAAACAGGTGCGGTCTTAGATGTTACTTGCTGTTCAAGCTGTGCGGTGACCACGCAGAGCCACCAGTGTCCCACACACTATTGTACTGTTCCAATCGTTAGTTCTTAAACAATTATCACGACTCATTAAGACTACAGAACTGACATAATAAATGAAAAATGGCACCATGATGTTTAATTGTAGCGGTGTAGTGTCTGCAATGCCAGTTACAAAAACGAATGTACCACTTTGATATCACCATCAGCAGCACTCGTACACTGCATGCTGTGCATAAGACGTAGAAAAGAGCACAGAGATGCACACAGTGTGCTGTGTGTGTGTGTTTATTTGCTCTTGTCTACATTTTTTGAGTGCGACAGTGTATGAGTAATCAACGAGCCCACATTGATACCCTTCTAGAATCATCATCTTTCTTAGCCTGACATGACGCTCGAATTCTGAAGTAGTCTCAATGTCCAGCTCTCGCTTTTAGTCTTCTTTCATACTCTGTGTGTGTGTGCATGTGTCAGACATGCGGCGCAATGACTGTTTATGTGTTCCTGTCAAGCATCGTAACGCTGTGGGGACTATGTTGAAGACGTGCAACAAGGTGCTTACAAACACTGCGTAAAAGAGTTACTCAAAGGCCGACAACGGCAACCCTGTGATGCTGCCAACTGAGGCAGAACTTTTGACAGTATGCCAGAAGATGTGTCTTCTAATCCACTTTGATAAATATTGCTTTTATTTGCCTCAAAAGTGTTATTTACCAGCTTGATACTGCTACTTACAGATGTTCAATGTCATGCATGACTACATATTTTGCTAAGCACTCTGGGTGCATTGCCACTTTTTATCAGACTAACAGAGTTAAGGAAGGTGCGTCTTATATATCACTTTTTCCCACAAAAGTAAAAAGTAGGGGGTGTGGCTTATACAAGGGTGCAGCCTATACACAGGAAAATATGGTACGCTTTTCATGAAGCCATTCGAAAAACTACTTTGAAAAGTGTTGCAGGGCCCTTTCAAGTGCTGTTTTATTCTTAATCTACCAGGAAAACAGGACTACAGAGGAAAACTGCCAGAGTAAATTTTGAATTCTAGGAAACCATACTGTATCTCTCTTACACTTTTTTTTTTTTTCAAATTGTCAACCTAGGGGAACGCAAGTTTTCATGTTGTACCTGTGAAAATGCTTGGTGGACATTAGATTTGAGTGAAAAAAGTGATTGTTTTTCTTACACAGCATCCCAAAGGTATTGTGTGATGCGGAGGTTGGTGCAAAATAGTGTCCTATAAATTTAAAAAATGAAAGGAAGGGGAAGAGGAAGTTTGTGATGAAAGAAGCTCCAACCTTGAGAAAGACAAATCCACTTGTTTAAACGTCAGCTAGAGCACAGACTCCCTGTTTCCGAACATATTTGTTGTATAACTGAAGCATTAATACATTATGACTAAAGGAGTTTCGCAAGGACCGAACCCATTAGTTTAAAATGCGAGTTGTCGCAAGACCATAAGATGTAAAATTCAGGTTACACTGTGTACTGGTTGGTTGTATTCAGCCCATTTCTCTATCGCCTCAGTAATAGTCTGAATATAGACTATTGCTGACTAGCCAGCATGAAATGAATTCCATACAGGAATGGAACATCAAGCACTTCAAAAATTATAGACTGATTAGCTTACTTTCTCTTATTGTCAACAAAATCTCTCTCTTTCTCCTATATATATATATATATATATATATATATATATATATAGTATGGGATATGGCACAACGGGAGCGTTGTCAACAAGGATAATATATTTATTTCCCAACAGCTTCGGGAGGGGACCTCCCTTCATCAGGGGATGAGTATAACTCATCCCCTGATGAAGGGAGGTCCCCTCCCGAAACTGTTGGGAAATAAATATATTTATCCTTGTTGACAACGCTCCCGTTGTGCCATATCCCATACCTTCACGAAGACTAACTGGCCCATTGAATTATTACTCCCACTATATATATATATATATATATATATATATATATATATATATATATATATATATATATATATATATAACAATTATACCAGTTATATGCACAGTCAACTTTGGTATATTTTCTGTAATGAAAGAACCCGCTTATACAGCAATGCCCTCATGCCCCATTATCACTTATAGCAATAAATTCTGGCTGTTGGGTGTCCCCGCTGAAAAATAATGGAATGCAAAATCTTTAAAAAGAAGAAAATGAGAAATTCAAGCTATTGAATCCCCACTCACAGCTCTAGCGTAATCCAGCACCTTTTCACATTCGCTGTATGCTTCACCGCACTGTGTTGTGGCATTGCGGCAAAGCAGACTTAAAATCCGTTACGGTGCGAGACTTGCGGTGGCTTCAGTCAAGCACTTTCGGAGATTAAATCTGAATAAAAAAAGTTGAATCATCTGCCGCAAAAAAAAACCATGAGTAAATGCGAAGCAGCAGGCGCTAATGCTTACGCTGGCAGTGACAAAAGCCAAGAAATGATGCCCTTGACTAAATTCCGAATGCGCGATCCAGTGCCTACATATACGGGGTGACCAGCGAATGGTTGTGCAGCACGAGCAGTCAATTTTTTACTACAGCAACCTTGCGAGGTGAGAGAGAAAGAGGGGAGCGACAGTTTTGCGGGTGTCTTCCTGGGCCAGCACAAAACGGGAGAATCTGTGGTGGGGTGTTCGGAGGGACAGCATTACACAAGCTAGTCAAAAAGCTGCTTCGCATCTAAAAGTTGCGGCTTGGAAGAGTTTCAGTGTCTGAAACTTCAGACATTGTCATACATTGGCTTTATGGGGCTTGTGGCGGTTCTGCAAAAGTGTTCAAATTTTCACGCTTGTCCAAAAAATAAGCAGCTTTGTCATCTTTGTTACTGTCTGTTGGCATATCCCATGCAATATTATAATTTTCTTTCTCAGAACAGCCTACCATCCCCCGATTTAGCATTTTAGGAGCAACGCTCCTTATTCTTACACCCTGTCATCGCCGCAGTCACTATTGAAGCTCCCCGCTGCATCACCATTCTCCACCCCAATGTTTCTAAAACCAGGTCAGTTTCACAGCTCTCCATGGACGCTTGCTCTCCGAAGTCGACGAGACAACTGACGCAACTAGCAGCGCTGCAGTTCCATTTTGCATCATATCTCATGCGTTCGCAAATGATGCACAGAGTACAGAAAAAGCAATCACAAAGAAATGTGCAAAGCTGCTCCTTATGTGTCTCAGCTCGCTGCAGCACATGCGTTGCCTCTGCGATTAGCTTTTCAACGTGCCATTCACCAATGCACCAACGGTGCACTGCCGCATCCGACCTCGCTTGACACAGCAAGTGAAGAAAAATAGAACAGCAGTGCTGTAGGATCACACGTCAGCCGCATGTGAGGGCTTCTGAGCTAAGCTGCGAAACTGCAGTGGTTCTAAAGATGTTGCCCCCTCCCCCCAACTGCTTTCATGAAAACTAGCAGCGAGATCAGGTGCATAGCCATGCGTTTCTAAGGAGCTTAGCTAATTGATTGTACAGTAGACTCTCAGTAAACAGAAATCTGTTAAACGAAACTACTGCTTGAACGGAATTATTGCCTCTGCAATGCTTGGTTTCGCGCTTGTATTCTGCACCCATGTTCACCTCTCAGTAAACAGAACTCCTGCTAAATGGAACATATTTTTTCGGTCCCTTTAGGTTCTGTTTACCAATAGTCTACTGTATTTGTACACGGAACTAATAGTTCTTTTCATGCAACCAGTTCATAGCAATTGTCAGTTATAACAATGAAATTTTCGGGGCACTTGAGTATTGTTACATATGTGGGTTTCACTATATACATCTTTTTTCCTGCTTTTGTTGGGATGAGGAAATAACAAAAAATTTCATGGTGCACTGCATAATACTATCTATATTCATTACATAAATGAAGAATATATGTTTTAAAAGAATATGTTGGTACACATAATCTTCTGAATAATGCACAGCATCTAAAATTTCAAACGTAAGACTACTCACTTAGGAGACTGGGCAAAAAAGTTGTATAACACCTTCGCCAGGGTTTTCGGCTCGGTAGGTCGGTATGTTCGACTCACAGTCGGCTCGAAAGAGTTTTCGTACCGGTCAAGTGGGATTGGAGACTTTTGTGAAGGCCTGTAGCAAATACATCCAACAGAACCACTGTTATCACTGAGAAACCTCGCTGGAGAGCACAAAAAGACAGAGCAAGTGCGAAATCTTGTTTAACTCTTTCGTAACCACATCTAATCAAATTGGCCACAGGTGATTGCCAATTTTAGCATGCTGAAATAGTTTCTCATGCACCAAGCACTTTCTAGTAGTTAGTCCAGCCACTAAAATTTTAGAATCAGTTTGAATTTGCCCGTTTTGGCAACACAGTGATTTTTGAGAGACGTTTGTGCAAAACAATGTGTGCGTGTTGTTGGAAAAATACTAGGCTTGTGCAAATAGTGAATTTTAGGTTCGAAGTGAATTCGAATAGAATATATGACATATAAAGAAGAATGGGCATATTTATCATGACCTAACTAACATGCACAATATTTTTTTAAACAAGGCTTCTCTGCAAGAGCTTTCTTTATTATTTTTTTTTTTTCCATTCAAAGGAAGTCGAAACAACTTAGAGAAGTAGCAGGAATCGACTTTTAGTGGGATGCAAGTGATAACCTGTAAAACACGTAACATTGTTCATTACAGGTAGAGTGTGTAAGCTGGAAAAACAAGCTAAAAAATGATCAATCGATTTGAGGATAATATGTTCATTTAAAGGAACCATGCAACAGTTTTTCGAGTAGCCATGGAATGGATTCACCAAAGAAGCTTATTGCTTTACGAATTAACCGCCGTAAAAATTTTTAAAATCTGTCCAGTATGAGTGGAGTCCCAAAGATTTGCCACATGCTACAATTGGATTTGATCTTCTCATCCTGACGAAAGTACTTGAAGCAAAGGTGGGAGAGATGGCATAGGAAAAAAAAAAAAAAAAAAAACATCGCGTAAATGTCCCGACCTTGAGCACTTTTTCTCTCTTTTTTCTTCTTTGAATATGCGACTTTTCAGTGTGATCGGGCATGTACGCGTGCACATGTCGCGCCCACCTGTAGGGCCCCCAGTAATGACCGAGATCCCCTTGCTCAAATCAGCCAATGGCTAGTACAATGGCTGTGACGAGCGATTTTTGACATTGTGGCATCATTTGCCGAGAGAACAGAGCAATTTTAATCTGACTTTGAAGATTTATTGTGAATTCCAGGTCACGTGCTGCGCTATAATATTAAGCTCACGTGTTCTTGGTAGCCTTGACTCCTGATGGGCAGCATTTGCTGACCATGCTCAAAAAGTGTTGCAGGGCCCCTTTAAATTTGAAGTAGGGCTTCGCGGCAGAGCAAATTTTTTCTGGTGGGTGTTTTCACGATCCTCAGTTGTACTGCAGTGAAACCATTTTTACAGGTGGTTACATGTAGTTTAGTATACATTTATTCGTTCATGTTGAATTCTTCGAAATATTCGATAACTTAAATTCGAATCAAAGCGAGTTCGAATACTTTACTATTCGTTTGAATATTCAAAGCATTCGAATATTCGCACAGGCCTAGAAAATACACTTGGCTTGCGAACCTTACAGAAGTGCATGGCCCTCATAGTTATGCTATAGTAACATCAAAGTTCTGTAATCAAAGAACCTTTGCCAGTCTAATTTCAAATTAAGGTGTCGGCTTCACAATCTGACAGTGTTGAGCAGTAATAATTACCAGAAATTTATCCTAGCTATTGAATACACAGCTGTTGCTAGGGGTCAGTAAACATTTATTTCACAAAAAAATATTTCTGAAGCTCTGCCGCATGCATAACGTGTGGAGGTGGCCTTCTCAGACAGTTTCCAGAAGCTTTGGTTTGCTTGTATCATATCAGACAAAGGGCAGCGTCTAGTGTCACTATTTGCTCCTATGGTGGTCGCGTCCCGCACGCATGAGTGCGAGACGCAACCTGCACTGCAAAAAACATTCAATGCTCCAAACTGTCTTGCAACCGCAATTTATTTGAGTGAGGACGAGCTTAGAGTCCAAGGATGACAGCTACTCAGCTTCAAGTTGTATGGCGACAATATTTTGCGTCAGCCTGAGACATCTGCAGCCGTTTATGGTTTTGTTTTGTTTACGGCCTCAAAATGTCTCCTCCACTGTAAGTGCGTAGCTGTTGACTTCTGTGCACAATCTGCTCTGGTTACTTGCAAGGTCCACACGTCGCTGGGGCACGGTGAACTGGTTCCAGCTGAAGAGCTCCTCACGACAAGAAGGCCACCGGAGCTCTTCTTGGCCCCGACTATGAAGCAGCGCGAAACGTTTTGAAACTGTGCGCAATACACCCACGCATGTTTATTATTTTCACTGTTTTTTCATTCCGCTTTCGCCCACAAAGCTTTTCAGGAATGCTCAGCGCAAACTGTGCCTCATTGTTCGAGAAGGTTTGCTATTGTAGTAGTAGATCGTTTTGTTAAGAATGCGTGCAAGACACGAACACTCAATATTATTCCAGAGTTTGAGCAATGATCAGTGATAAGGCTGGAATATTGGAGGGCACGTGCATTAATGTTGACGTGCTTCGCTGCTATCAGTGCCAGTGTGTATTACTGTAATCCGATTTTTTATTGATCGGCCACAAGTTCGGCCAAATGAACAGTTTGATCTTTGAACTACAGTCCGCCCCCTTCATCAATGTCACGACCCCGTGACAATATATATATTTTTTAATACAATGTGTGAAAATACAAATAAATATTCTTGGATGCATATATTAGAATGGGAACCTATACGGAGTGAGATGGCTCATGAAAAAAAAGTTACGCTGGATGAAATAGCAAAGTTCATTGGCCATCTGATTTATACAGGTATTATTCATAACATAGGCATTCATCTATATTAGAACACCTGCAGGCTCTTATCGCAAAAAGATAACAAAAATTTACGAGAAAAGTGTACAAGTTCATTTATGTCTCATGAAAAATTGAAATGCATCACCATATGGCACAAGCAAGGAAGCAGCACCTCAGTTTCGATTTTCTTCATCTAGGTAAATAGGAAAATTTCGTACATTTCCTATTTTTATACTGTTACTGCATCATCTATCTTCAAAATGTATATTCTGATGTTTTTTGTGTTTAATATTCTCGCATGTATAATGTTTTCTATTGCATTGTTTACCAGCTGCAACCAAAAATTACGCACTTTTTACATATTTATTCATTCCAAAATATTTGTGTTCTATAATTATTTTTTGGAAAGAGCATTTTATTGTGCAAAATTTGGTATGCTGGAATGTGTGCTAGAGTACTTTTCCAACTGGCAAAAACTATCTTCCCGAGACATGTAAAAGATGAGCACTTTCACACGGTAACGAAAGAATTAACAGAATGTGGCTTGTGAACTGCACACTTGTTTGGAAAATCCAGTTCTTGAAAGTCGAGTTTCAATCTGCTTTTCTTGACATAAAATGCACAGAAAGAACTCATGTCACTGCAAAAACGACTGGTCTTGAACAAGTTGCAACTTACAAAACAATGTAAGCTCATGAACAAATCATCCCCCCCCCCTTCTAGATTTCGAGAGACACCAGGGTTGCACTTGTCACATGCCCCAAATTTTAGCATTCAGCCCACATTGTGTCAGGAGTGTCATTATAATTCATGGGGCGTAACGTCTCAAAACCACGATATGATTATGAGAGACGTCATAGGGGAGGGCTCCAAAAATTTCAACCACCTGGAGTTCTTTACGTGCATCCTAAATCAAAGTATTGCACGGGCTTTAAGCGTTTTCACCTCCACCGAAAACGCAGCCAGCACAGGTGGATTATATTCCGTGACCTCCAGGTCAGCAGTTGAGCGCCATAACCACCAAGACAGTTGGATGTTAGGAGTGTCGTAACAGGCGTATGGTCTCACCCTCTAAATCCCCTTCTGGCAGTGTTGTAGCCAGGGGGGGGGGGGGGGGAACACACTGAGTTGGTGCCTCCTCCCCAAATTTTGTTTTTTAGCCATGGCATACAGAGCGAAAAATGACTGTTTTAAATAGGTGACCCCCCCCCCCCCCCCTTGAAAAAAATTTCTGGCTATGCTCGTACCATCTGGTCGTAACAGTCAACATCGTACACTCCATATGCAAAGAAAAGTGAAACTCACAACAGGTTGTCATTGTGGCGCCTCATTTCCAGCTCTGCTGACCGACGCTGCTGCTTCTTATGGAACTCATCCTCATAAAACTTTCGCATCTGTAATGACAATGCGCCAGTCAGAATTCCCGGAGAGCTTGTGAAACCCCATGCTCAGCAACACATTTAGTACATACAAAGCCAGTTATTATCATGCACACTGAGTTATTATCAGGCCTTCTGAACCTATTAGAGTAAGACGTGCTTATCACGAACCTCCATATAATGAATTCCTCGATATAACAAAGTTTTTCTATTACCCGCTGTTGCTCCATAGAAGCACATGTATTTGTGACCTCTATGTAACGAAGTAGCAGTAGGAGAAAACCTTGATATAATGAATTTTCCACACGGACAATCTAGAAATTTTGCTCCACATTTTGGTACGAGCATGCATCTTCTGGGGCAGCCCTGCTGCCAACGAAGTGTGAAGCGGCAGTGGTGGGCACGCGGGCATGCACCCCGCGAGCCGGTGTTGTCGCCGTTTTCGCCACCACGGTTGCATGCGCGCATTGCCCGCACCCCTCCTACTCCAAGTAAAAAAAAAAAAAAAAACGAACCTTTGCGTGTTCGTAGTGCCACGCTTTTAGTTAGCATCACATATGTGGGGCCGCACTGCGTTTGGAGGGTGCTTTACCGAGTAGTTTCCCACGGTATCCGTGTCACACCATGCACACATAGTTTCACTGTGTGCATGGTGTGACCTCCGATGACATTCAGCTTTGCTTTTTTTTTTAATTGCGACAGCAATTATGTATACAGCCACTGTCGTCATTCACCGTATATGTATACGTATCTATATATATATATATATGAAAACTCAAGGGGAAAAAAAAGCTGCCCACGCTCGGCACCCAGCTCGTCATGATGCGCTGATGCGTGCTTATCTCTCACGCATACTTTGCCCTGCGAATGCGGGGGGGTGTTAGATGTTAGATGCTTGTGCGCGCGCGCGCTTATTCTTCGGTGGGGAGAATCGCGTGCCTTCGACTTTGACAGGAATGATTGCGTTTAGTTGCCGGGTGCACAAAGACCACTTCGCTCAGAAGACAGGCGCTGTTTGTAAAAAGAATGCGATTTTCAAACACAGTGAAGTAACAACTGGGGCACTTGTTAGTTCGCACTCATATCTGTACCTATGATTATGCGTTTGAGTGTCGAGTGGTATACGGTGTTAGTTCGCTCCCGTCCTGTGTATGTTTTTTTTTCGCATCATTTGTGCCTGAGCAGCATGCGGAACGTTTCGATATGCTTGCCATTCTCAGCGTTACATTCCAAGTTGTTGCTATCACGTTCAAACTGTGACTTTTGTTAATTTCGGACAACTGTGTCGTCACCACTGAGGGGATGTCAGATTAGGCGCTGATGGAAACTCTCCAAGACCACGGTGATGACAGATTTTCGGAGGTCGACTCATCACGCGCTTTCGCCTTGCACCGCGCCGGAAGTTTGCAGGCTGGTAGCTTTCGCAATTAGACGATTAGTTCTGGCAAGACAACGGCGCATTGCATGCAATGCAATGAACAGGACACCGAAAAATTGTAATGTAATAAGAAGTAAGGCTGGCAGCCAACACTTTTGGATCAGGTATCACAGAACTCCTACAAAATGCTAGTGTGAGCAAATACGGCCGCTTCAGGAAGAAGTGCTCTTTTGACACAGTCCCTTTGCGTTGAAACTGCCCTGATACTCCCCGAGATAGCAAGTGTGCCAGCGATTGCAATCGCCCTTAAAATCCAAGTTCATTAATGTTACTGAAGCGAGCATACCCCCCCCCCCCCCCTCCTCTCCGCGTTGTTTCGTGCTTGCTCAAGATGGGTGGTTTACTTTCTGTGTGAGCATTGGACGGCAATTCTAACAAGCGGGAGATGTTATCTTATGCACTTTCCAGGCGATAGAGATGAGCCGACTCATTTCTCTGCTTCAGAAGGGCTCACACGCTTTTAATTGCTCGTAAAAGTTACCGAGGCGCGGGGGCATGTTATCAATTTGGACTGGTCACGAAAGATGGCGGCGACGTCAAACACCCGCCGAGAGTGTGGGGCAGCTTCAAAGCTACCGCGATGTGGTGCCACTGCACTCCAGAGGGCATCGTTTGCATTCCGAAATGCTTGTGCAGTGCAACATGAGCCAATAATTGCAGTTCCTTTTGTGTATCTGCTGTGCTACTTTTTGTGACAGGTAAAGCGATTATAAAAGAATACGATGCCAAACATATTTTAGTTCCATTACAGGGGAACAACCAAAAGGCCCGTTAGGTTTGCCAAGTAACAAGGAAAGGCACAAGATATGGAAGTGGGCCCTACTGCTGCTGGAAAGAGGTGATTCTAGTTTTGAAGCAATGTGTGTGCATAGATGCACGAAGCACATTATTGCCAAGGATGTCCTCATTGCCGGCAATTCTAATTTCAATGGTCTAAATCTTGTCCAATAGTGTCATCGTGTTAGTGAAAAAGTTAGAGCTGGCGAAGCACCTTCATTTCATTTTCTTCGTCATTAGACAAAGTTATTCTGCAAAAGCAGCCGTTGTAGAAATTATTCACCGTTCTCCTGTTAAAATACTTCCCAGAGGTCAACAAAAAATTGAACAGCCATACTGGGCAAACCATGTATTATTTCCTTGCGTGATCAATAAATACTTTTTAACAGTTGAATGTGGATGCAACAACCCCGATGTTTGCCTTTTTTTACAAATGGCACCACTGGGGCATTGTTGCAAGGGCGCAACATTTATTTTAGGCAAATATTAAAATGTGAAACCTACTAATGTGCCTATACTAGCAGCAGCATTTTGCTTGGGGTGGAAAAAAAAAGACCGTACATATCCTTTCACTTGGTTAATAGCCTTAGATCAGAAATGGATTTGAAGTCTTCCAGTCCACTGTGCCGCATGATAATGTGATGATTATGGCTCTTCAAATCTAGAATTTTCGTTCCTCTTATGCTAAAACCATCGTGAGCTGCACACTATGAGTAGCGTCTTTTCAGCCGGGTGCTCATTTTAAGACTGAAAGGACCCTGATAGTGAAAGTTTTGTTTGCGACATTTTTAGAGCAATTTGTAGCTTTGCATCTGATAATGCAAAAATTGAATTGCCAATATTCTAATGCATCATATAATTAATGCTAGCATTATGAATTATGAACGATTATGCATCACTCTGAAACACTGTAAGAAACTAGCGCCCCATAGCGGGACAGCGCCTGAGAGTACGTGTGCTCAAGCTTCGGAGACATATTGCGCTGTTTACAACTAGGAGGACCTGCGGGTGGTGAAAAATTAAATGCTGTGGGTGCTTTGAGAGTGTCCCCCCATCAGAAAAAAGAAAAGCATTCCTGGTGTAAGCAGTCAAAACCACCTAGAGAGCAGCCTGACAAAGGAGCGAGAGGGGCACAAACAAGCATCACAAGGGGGCCCCTGTCTAGGTCAAATCACAGGAAATGTCAACTGAACCTGAATACTCGAATGAGCATGCACCCTTACTTTATAACTAAATTAAAACATCTTACAGGCAACAATCATCACAAATAATCGGTCAGAAGTGGTCCAGCATGCAGGAATATAAAAATACACAAGCATCTCGAGTTTCTGAATTTGCCATTGAGGTCCTTTAAGATACACAAAGACTCATATATGCCTGTTGTGTGTTGAAAGTAGCTACATGAAGGCAAAGCGACCGTTGCATAAGTTTAGAAAGCTAGAACACAGAGGCTGCCCCACATACAACAACAGAGATAGGAGCGTTCACATGCCATCTCACGCACAGCTGTGCCTCTGGCAATGATATGAAACAGGTGGCAGTTTCCTGACCATAAAAAATACTGAATGACTTCGCCATTACATCACAAAAACTGAAGGGTTTTCAAGGACTTTCAAGGCTATGTGTGTAGCATTTCAAGGAGCAAATAGTATTTTACAAATACAACACATGTTCAAGGGAGGATAGAGGCTTGAAATAACTAGAATTCATTGAAAAACGATAACGTTACTGGAGCAGACATCAAAAACATGGCTCCAATGACACTTTCTGTTTGGGCAATATTCAATTATGGTTTCTTAGAGTTTCTAGATTTAATCACTTTCAGTATCACTAAGACACAAACCTTTACTCAGATAGAAAAAATGAAGGAACAGTTATTATGCAACGCCTTGTAGCTGAGATTTCATATTGCCACCTAGAGTTATGAACCGGCAAGCCCTAGCCAGTCGAAAAGGGCAAAGAGAACGAAGAAGAAGTGTGTATTAGCGCTTCGTTTTGAAAATACACGCTTGTGTTTTTCAGCCTCGCTGTTCCTGTCTTGTCTCTACGGCTCTTGGTGCGTGACAAACTGGTGGACGTACTGGGTGATCTATGCACCGTACCCCTCCACATAGCAACAACTCAAGCGTCGTACCGGTGGTCACTCCTGTGCACCGCGCCAGCAGAAGAATTCGAGGGCAATCCCCTGAGTTTGGACTGCTCACAAACAACATGGCAGCTCCGATCGGTCCTACCAACACCAACCCAACCGGTACGAACGACACAACGCCGCTTTATTGCACCTTACTGACACCACGAACGCCAAATCCTTTTCATGGCACTTCACTTGAGGATGTAAAAGATTGGCTTGTTCATTACGAGTTCGTTGTCGTGCACAACCAGTGGGACGACGCAGACAAACTACGGCACGTCTATTTTAGTCTTTTGGACGACGCACGTGTGTGGTATGAGAACCGGGCAGGTATTCTTACATCATGGGATTCTTACATCATGGGAAGACTTCAAATGCCGACTTCTTGGGACATATGCCAGCCCTGACCGTCGGGAGAGAGCTGAACGTGACCTGCGGTCCTGCATACAAATGCCGAACGAAGGGGTTGCGATGTATGTCGAGGACATGACACGTCTTTTCCACCGAGCTGACCCCGGCATGCCAGAAGAAAAGAAGGTACGGTACCTCATGCGCGGGGTGAAAAAGCAGCTTTTTGGTGGGCTTGTGCGCAGTCCACCCAAGACTGTGTCAGAATTTCTCACAGAAGCCGTCACCATGGAAAGCACTCTTACGCACCGGGCCCCGTCA